GCGAGCGAGATAACATAGGCGCAGCAATGACGCAGACCTAGGCGTAGGACCATCTACACTGACACTTGTAGAATCCAAACTGACTGACACTTGTAGAGAATTTACTGTATTTCTATACAACTCTGTCAGATATCAGTTTGTAGACCGTCAATTTTCTTATTAAAAATTTTTCATTTATGTAAGTATACATCATTTACTTTATATCGCTTAATTAACACCCAGGATTCTGTACAAAATTTGAAACACACACACTTTAGTTATCTTATATAAAAACGAATGTAATACATAATAATAATTGCATTAGATTTTCTTTTCTTTCTAATTTAATTGTTTCACTGCTTGCATCGATTAAGAAATTATACACAGAAATATTAGCAAAGATTTAAACCTTATATGACTTTTCAAATATTATCTCACATTTATTCACATAACTTAATTCTTATTTACTTTACATTTCATCTAGCTTTGCCTGAGCTAATTTCAAGCCTTTGTGTTATTGATATAGATGTATCCTTTGTCAACATTTCCATTAAAATTAAAGTAATCCATCAATTCAGATGTAATACGACGAAGTTAGGGAAATCGAATAAAATATCGTTTATTTCGGGCCAGAACACTTATCATGATAAATATAGTTATGAAACATACCTTAGCACTTTCAGTATGAAATACTTGTTCCGCAGCGAACAATGTCTGCAAATTAGTAACGAGGAAAAGAACACGCGAGTCATATAAAGCAGGTAGTTCGTCATGAAGCTCAGAATTAAGTTGTTCGTATGTACGCTTAGCTTCCTCCAATAATTCTTTTCCTCGAGAAACTTTAAGTTCGTCTCGCTTTCTTGGATTGCATTGTAGTGATTGGAAATTGTGTCTTTGACTGTCATAATCTACAAGCTTGCGTCCACGCTTATCAATTTTTTTCTGTAACAAATATCACCTATGTAATAAGATACATCGTACAATTTACGCGAAGTAATACTATTATTATATGAGATGAACGATGAATATTAAAGAGAGAAAAAAGTATTACAATTATTCTGATAATATGTTAACGGGGGTAGCACCACTCTAAAGATAAGTGAAGTTTGGGAATATTTTTCGCAGGTAACTACAAAATGAAAAGTTTCAATTTTTTTTATGAGGATATAAACGTAACTTTCAGCTTTTTTTCTTCAATTTTTATTAAGTAAAGAAGTTACAAAATGGAGGAGTTATTCGCTAATTGTGAAACCTTTTCTGCTAGAACATCGATTGCTGGCGACAAAAGGATTGGAACGTCTGAAATAAAAAATTCTGTTTGATTTACAAATAAAAACGTATTACCTACAATTTAGCGTAGGATTTTTCAAAAATTTTAATTGTTATAGAAATGGTGGGGCAGTTTGTATAGGAGAAACTTCTTTCTATAAACAAGAAAAATCAACTTTAAATATTTCTAAATAATTAAATAATTGATATA